GAAAACCCTAACATAACGATAAAAATTAACAAGACCAATTTTAATAGTCTGTCTCTGTTTAGTAGTCAGCGTCAGACTCAGCCCTAGAGCCACGCGCCTGTAGCTTAGCTTTTCATTATGTGTAATGTAGTAATGTAAATCAAACGATTTCTGGAGATAGCTTGCTCTTAGCTGAATGCTTTACCGTCGCATTATAATTACGATACCTTGCATTACCGCGCTTCGATCGTGAGCGACACTGATTCTGAGTGAATTCTGTGACAGCTGCGTCTCCAAAACAGCGTTGCAGCGTTACCGCGCTTCGATCGTGAGCGACACTGATTCTGAGTGAATTCTGTGACAGCTGCGTCTCCAAAACAGCACTCATTTAATACTCCCAAAAACTTATCGTTGGATGGCAAAACTGTCTCAAGCTGATTCTGAATTTTTAACACTTGCCACGTTTTATCGCTTGCCAGAACGCGTTGTGGCAACTGCCACTGCCGGTGGCAGTTGCCAGTGGCAGGTGCCACTGCCACCTTTTATCCCCTGCCCGTTTACCAACACAGACTCCGTATTGTGCCGAATCAACCGATACAGAATCGATGTACGGCATGTTACCTTAGCTTAGCACATCGATCTACTTGCAATCGATCTCGCTGCACGAATTGTTCGCAGGATTCCGGAAGGGTTATTAATTTCTCGCAACTACAAAATGTGTTGTATCAAAATAAATGTGTTCCTCGTATCGCGGATGGATGTTCTCCGATCAAGCATTCCATCAGCTGCAATTTACACATTTTCATTTCTGCTCATCTCTTTATTCAAATTTGCGGACACACTAAGTTCATAGTGATACATAATTATAACATAGGTCATACCGGCTAGTCCGGATAACAAATGCAGCGCGTTACCTGAAAGCAGAAATGTGTGTACATACATATATATTCTTTCCTTGTCCACTGCATTCACTTTTATGTTCAGTCGATGGTACAAAGATTCCCGATACTCCGGTTCCGGCGCGGTCAGTTGCACCATAACATTTTGTGGTATGGCAATGCACTTTGAATGAGCACCGTTTTATACATTCAGTTACAATAGCTTATACTTCCTATTACTCAGATCAAGAACACTCATTTTTAGACGACATGTTTTAAGTGTGCGAGTATTCAAATCATATCCAGTCCAGTCCACACTGGTTAACCGTATAAGCAGTGGACACTGGTGTTAGAGAACGCCACTTGGCATATGTTTTCAGAAAAATGCAGTTCTCTCGTGGTACCAGCAAAAACTTTATACGCGCACTTTCAAAGCGATGAGCAAAATCAAAAAGACAAACTAGCAGTAAAGTGTTATGACGGCAATGTCGGCAAGTGAACTATTTACATACCGCAGTAATACCGAACCGACAAGCATAGATACTAAACTGTATACTAAAAAGATGTTTACAATAATATGTACATCACGGCAGTTTACAGATTATAAGCTTAAATACTAATTTGCAATGATTTTGGTTGTTTTTGGAACTTGTAACCGTAGTGTGTAATCATCGTTGCTGAACACGAAGGAAACCAATAAATAAATCAATAAACCAATAATAACCAATAAATAAATCAATAAATCAATATAATAATAAACCAATAAACAAAACGATGCTTTCCAGGAATGCAAAAGCGTAAAAATTTTAGCCGGTAAAATTTATAAAATCCTGTATGTTGCTAGAGCGGTCGGCTCTGAGCTCACGTCGGTCACCGATTGGACCGCCGGATTGGAGCTGCCGAGCGCTCTTGTGCAGCCGATCTAAATTTCATCGGATTCCACCGATTCATTACGATGTTTTTGGACCTCAGTGAAAGATCTCTAGATCTCACTTTGGTGCTTTCTGTTTGGGTTTTCGCTGATGATTTTGGTGTTTATGTTTACGATCTAATAAAATACGATTTTATTCGATCTTTGGTGTTCCATTTTCCGATCTCGATTCTCGCTCACGTAGAAACGTATCGCTCAGAATCGCTCTCCTTGCATGGTGAAGATGCGTGTCGTGTAACGACCCTGTACTTACAATAAGATCAATAAGGAGTAGCGCGGTTTGAGCGGATGCGTCGAGTTTTCATTTTGGTGAAGAGCGAGTTTATGATTACTTTGTGTTTTTCAATCTGTTTGTGTCGAGAATTAGGCGCAAACGAGTGACCCCTAGTGGAACCCTGTACGACAGCGTGTTGGAGCGAAGAAATTCACCGACACCGTCGTGAATAGCTGATTCTAATTTCCCGATTCAACTTGTTGCTGTTTCTTCGGATCAGCCACGTTATTCCCCCAAAGCCCGACCCACCCGAGCAACGTTTCGGATTCCTGTGTATCTAAGGAGGCTTAATAAGCCCCGCATCTATGGCAGAGTCCCAACGAAGCGCGTGGTGGATTTCTGAAGAACTACGGATTTACGAAGCACGGACAAGTTCCTACACGTTCAACGACCCCTGGATCTTTCCTGGTAAGTTCTGCTTGCAAAAGCAAGTTAAGATCTTTATCGGAAGAGGAAATCAATGATAGCGGATGCGATAATATTACTGTAAAATCGGAAACTTTCTGTCGCGTCGTTGATCGTGTCGATGCCTGGTTGAACTTTTGCCCCGTTGCGATTGTTCGACGTACGTGTGTTAAATTTTGATTTCTCCGTGTTGATTCTGCGATATTGTGATTTTGACCTTTTCGAGAAATTCCCGATCATTAATTTCGTTGAAAAATGAGATTCGTTGATCGATTAATTACGTGTGTTGATTAATGAGATGTCATGTGTGTGAACAAGATGAAGTGAGGTTGTGAGAATTTATTCGAAACTTAATCGTGAATTTAATCCGGATTATTATCGATTGAGTTTTGAGTTGATTTTGAAATTGATTTCGATAATGTCGATTCAAAAATGATGACCAGATCGCCAACAGGACAGCAAAAGTAGGGATTAATTTCGTCGTTCGTAGATTCGGTGCACAGTATGGCACAGAGTCTATCTCCTCGTAGCAACTCGAATAATACGATTAATCAGGATAGCTAGTCGACGAGCACGCAAACAGTAAAATCAAAGCCAGCAGTGAAGAAAGTACCGAAGCAAAAAGTAGTGAATCCCCCTCCCCCAGTAACTCATGCAGTGAATACTCAATATGGACGAAGTATCGACAGGTTCAGTCGGAAATCCCTGCGCGGGAGACCGTTGAGCCTAGCTCGCTCCTTGAAAGATCGTCAGTAATTCCAGAGGCGCCCGGCGGTGACCGCCCGGCGTCAAAGTCGAAAACCGCTAATATGGTCGATAACGAATTGAAAGACAACTCATCAGTTGCTGAAGAAAATCTGAATGATTCTCGATCAAGCGAAATGTCTATCGATTCGATTCTTATGGGAAACAAAGACTGTAACGATCCGTATGCCCTAGGTGATGTGGACAGTGAGGGTGAACTCACTCTCCACAACACCACCGCAGTCGATTTGCGAACGCCATTCAAACGAAGCACGGTTATGCGACGCAGCCCGCTTCCGACGATGGGTGAAATACCTGTGAAGACTGGAAAAGAAAAATCGCCCCCATCGAACGAAAGTAAGGCGAGTTTCCGGTCAGTTATCGGTTCTGGAAGCCAAGAGGAAGCAGTAAAGGTCTCGATCGATAAATCGTCGGTGACGGGTGGTGAGTATGCCAGAACCTGCGTCTCGCGGGTGAAGTCACTGGCAAATTACAGGAAGAGCTATCGCTGGCTCACCAGCAAATCGCTGAATTAAAGAAGATAATTCGTTTAAATGCTGACAAGACCGCAGCCGATGACAGTGATGAATCGATTCTAGTTGAGGCTTTAGAGCGTCTGAAAACTCTGCAAGCAGAGATCTCCACGTTCAGAGCCGCAATGAAATTACGTGATGATACGATTAACGCACACGAACGGACGATTAATCGAGTACGCAGTGAAAGACAGAAGTTTCAGGATAAAGTCGTGATGAGTCAGAGAGAACTAGTCGATGAGAAAACGAACCTGGAAGCAAAGGTGAAGAAGTATGGCGGAAAGCTGCTCTGGGCAGGCAATGCCAAGTTGCAGCAGGACGCCAAAATGCAGCAGAATATGGAAGATCGAGATCGATACCGTCATGAGCGAAACGAAGCTCGGGATAGGTTTGATCGATTAGCGGCAGATTACGATGCTTTGCAAACGATGTGTGAAGAACTCGAGAAGCAGTAGCGATCGCTTCCTGTTAGTCCGGCACAGCCTGCCGGACATCAAGGACAGCCGTCGCGAACCGAACTATCTGGCAGTGGCATTAGTCGCGGTTGTTCGCCGGTCGTTGAGCGGTAGGTCGAGAACGGTTGTCCGTTCTCCCGCTGAAGCTGAAAACGAAGTGACAATCGTTAAGGAAGTCGTTAAACCGGTGCCCGAGGTCAAGGCCGATTCGGCTAAGATCTTTAAGGATAATACGGTTAAACCAACGAAGTTTAGTGGATCGAAAGACAACGTTGAAAGGTTTGTTTTGCGATTCCGATTGGCAGCAACGGCAAATCGTTGGGATGAGTCTAAAAAACTCGCCAATTTGGCTAACGCTGTCAAGGATGACGCCTTGACTTGATTCGATGGGTTGCTGACATCGCCGTCGGCACCCACTACAAGCGAAGGTTTTTTATCGAAGATGGTAGAACGATTCGGTAACAGTAAGAAGTCGGTTAACGCGCTGACAGAACTGACAAATCGATTATATCGACCTGTTCAAGAATCGCTTGAGCAGTATCTCCAGACGATGGAACTACTGCGCGATCGAGCGAATTTCCAGGGCGATCCGGCACATTTCGTATTGTTTGTAATGCGTGGATTGAAAACCAATCAGAAAGTATACGATAAACTGATGACGAAACAGCCGGAAAACAATCGATCAGCTTCGCCAGTATATTCGTTATCTGGTGTCTAGCGATCCAGATGGTTTCCAAGTTCCTACCGATATTAAAGCGCGAAAAACTCAGGATAAATCGAGAAACGATTTAGCTGCTGTGCATGCGGTCGATGCTGAAGAAGCGCGATCGGATGGTGGTGGCAGCCAGAAGGGCAGATCGAATGATGGCGGCGGCTATGGTGGCCGGACACGGTCACCTGGGCCTTGGCGCCCCCCGCGGTCGCGGTGGTAATTTCGGAGGAAATCGCGGCGGCTTCGGTCGTTGCGGAGGAAACGGTCGAGGTGGATTTAGTGGTCGCGGGGGCTTCGCTGGTCGGCAAAACTCTGGTAATTCCGGTAACAGCGATTCCTATAAGCTCTGTACTAAATGCGATGTCCATAGCCATACGATCGATGAATGCGAGTTCAGAGACGTGCCACGCGATCAGAATCCGGTGTACTTAGCGTATCACTGGGCTGACGGCACCCGCCGTTATGCCAGCGATTTTCGCCGAAACCGGGAAATTCCCAAAATCGAAGCGATAATTACCCGAGTCAGAATAACGGAAATCGACGTCGATTGAACTCGTGGACAAACGATAAGGCAGCGCAGTCCGGCCAGAATCATCGTGGTTCTGGTGGTGGCGGCCAAGACGCTCGGAGCCCCGGCAGTTCTGCCGGTGGTGCTAAGGGCGGTTCTGGTGGCGGCCAGGGAGACGTGAACGGGCAGTAAACACCGGCTTTGCAGTCCCTGTACCTTCCAAACCGCCGGATATGTCGATTAATGGATTCACTATTACCGATACGATAACCGATGCGAATAACGTTAACGATACCTGTACGATTTCCCAGCTGAAACCTAACTCATGCGAACCGAAGCGAACTCGTGCGCTCATGCATGTCGTCAGTGTCGATGGCGCTGAGGTTAATGCATTGATCGATTCAAGGGCGGAAACATCTCTTGTTTCCGATGAATTTTTACGTGTGAATCAAATCCCGCATTCCCATTATCGAGACCGCTGGACATTCGTGGCGTCGGTGGTGCTCGTAGCTTTCCAGTTACTAGCGAATTTTAGATTTCTCGAAACAAGTTACGTCCAGTTCGCCGTTCGGGTAGAAGTTGGCGTTACGGGTTGATTTACGTCCGTTCGCGACGTAAGGCGCCGTAAGCCAACGTCGTTGGCTGACGCGTAAAAACTGTCTGCCTTACGTGGATCTGTGCAACGGCTCAGCCATATGTTAGAGCGACAAGCCAGCGTATGCTGCCTGTGGATCTTTTTTGTATGCTCTAACCGCCTCCCCGAGAGCAGGTTGGTCACGCTCTCGGCACGCTCGACTCGATTTATTTTTCAGCTGTACGTCACTGCAAGTGTGCATCCGTACAAGCATTTTTAACGCTGTTTAGTCTGCTAACGTACTGTTCATCTGACGCGGTAGTTTCTAGTGAACGGAGCCGAACCATGTGAAATATAAAATTCCCTACTGACTACTGCGCCGTAGCAATAACGATTAACGATCGAACGATACAACGATACAACACTCCTTATACGTCAAACCGATAAACTATGCAGTTCCAGTACTGTTAGGCCAAGATTTATTGGTCCGATTTCAGTACATTGTTCTTGAGGGTTCGATTATTAAATTAGACTTAGCGCGAGACTGTAAGCCTCCGCCAGAAGTCGCATCGAACTCAAACCGTCCGCACAGTGTACATGTTGCGTCGACTGCGATCGATGCCCCGATACCGGTTCCAGTCTTTCCCGCGCCCGTGGCACGGAGAAAGTCCGCAACCACAATGCCTGTAAAGGAAAATCGATACCTGCAAAGGAAACTATACCCGAAAGGGAAACGATGCCCGAAAAGGGACCGATGCCTGTAAAGGAAACGATGCCTGTAAAGCTTAAAGCGATACCCGAAAGAGCCAATAAATCGATTCAGGCGGAAGCATTCGTGCCTCCGCGCAGTCGGGATAATGCGAAATTTTTCCCACGCCCGTGGCACGGAAAAAGTTTGCCGATAACACCAACGATAAATTAAAAATTAATGCCTGGGGAAATTTATACGAAGAATACCGCGTATTTATCGATGATATACAGCGATCCGTCCAGGATAATTACTGGTTTTTTGCTGACTATAACGAACAACTTGAAGAGTCGCGTAAAAACGAAGATGATCGGGCTATTGTGGCAGCCCAAGTGGAACTTTGGGCGCTCGAGACCGACATCGAACAAGAAATCGAATACTGAGATGATTTCCAAGATCAGTTGATACAAAAATTTCGGGACGAAGGCATTCAGCTCTCAGGTGGACTGTTTGTACCTGTCGACTTTATTCGTCATCGATTAATAGAGGACGAAAAGACTGCAATTAAGTTGTTACTCGGGGACGTTCCAATTGAAGAACTTCTATCGATAACTCACGATAAGATTAAACCTAGGACTCCGACTCGAGTTCGATTCGAAGATGAATTTCCTGAATTTACTAAAATCGAGACGGTAGACAGCCCGGCGGCGGCTACACCGGACATCCAAAACATCGATACTCCCCTCGCTTCTTCCGGGCTCCCCGTTGTGCACTCGCGCTTGGCAAAAAGCAAAAACACCCCATCGAGCGATATTAAATCGAAACCCGAAAACCTTGCATGGTGGAAATTGATAAAATTTCGATGAAAGACGATACCGTTAAAATTAATTACCGAGAAAGCGATGATGTTTTCAAAAGTCGAGGCCATAATATTCACGATACGCATCCAGGATATTCCAATAAAAATTTAATCGACATCCTTGTCGGCCCTTATGAAAATCGGCCAGACGATGAAAGAAACCGCAGCTAAATATGCAGCAGTAGCGGATAAATACGACAAAATATTAATCGATAGAGCTCCGAAAGAAATCATTGCTGCTTGGAATAATACGCCGGTTGAAAAATCGATTCCTTTAATTGAATCGAATAATGATAAATGGGAATTCGCAGATGCATTCGAAGTCTGGAAATCGTTAATCCTTGTCCGAAACGCAAATTGGTAAAGGTGTATGCGGTCGACGACTTTAATATCGATCCAAGTGCGACGTGGGTGTCAGTTTCAACGAGACGTCATGCCAAGTTGGATACATCGTTGCACATCTTTATCGGTAATCCCAGCCTGTACTCTTTCGGTAAAATGATGCCGGAAAGCGGGCTCGTGAAGCCGAACGATGGTAAATTTGAAGTCCTTGAATCAAATCATTCGATGTCCCGTCGCACAGTCCAGAAAGGCGCCTAGGTCGGTGTAATCGAAACGCATGAGAAGGACGATGACCCCGTAGTTGCTACAGCTGACGCCAAGCCGCGTACGCTGGAAGAGCATAGCGAGGTTTTAAAATCGATAAATTTAATGCATATAAATCCCGATTTAACCGATGCCGAAAAGAAACAGTTTCAAGACTGTTTGTCGAATTTTCTGATTTGTTTCCTACGTCAAAACGACCGTATGGAAACGTTATGGGTTATAAACATACGATCGATACTGGTGATGCGAAACCGAATAAATCGAGACCTCATCGGATAAGCTGGAAAGGTCGTGCCTTTATCCAAGAGCACGTCAAAGAAATGCTTGAGCAAGGTATGATTCGCTCATCGATTTCCGATTGGTGTTTTCCCGTAGTCCTTGCGGTGAAAACGAACCCAGATGGGTCGATCGGCTCTCGATTTTGTATAAATTATATCGCTTTCAATAACGTAACGAAAAATGGATGAAAAGTCGATTGCGAAAACTGCGTTCATAACGCAGGACGGCCTCTACGAATTTCTTTGTATGCCGTTCGGCGTTTGTAACGGGCCTGCAACGTTTCAGGCAATGATCGATAAGGTTCTCAGTCCGTTACGCGATGAAGGAATTTTCAGTTACCTTGACGATTTAATTTGCTGCTAAAACGATAGCAGAGTTACTGAAGAAAATTCGTCGATTATTCGAGTGATTGCGTGCAGCCGGTTTAACGCTAAAACCGTCGAAGTGCCATATCGCTAAGACCGAGTTACATTTTCTCGGTCATATACATAATATCGGAAAGCGGTATTCGTACCAATGGAGATAAGATTTCCGCGATTCAAAAATTTCCCAAGCCGACTACCGAAACTAAATTGCGATCGTTTCTTGGCTTAGCTAATTACTATCGGAAATTCGTAAAAGATTACGCTAAAATTACTCGGAATTTGTACGATTTATTTAAAAATAGAAAGGACGTCGTCAAACTCCGGTTTACGATGCGGAATTCGAATCGCTTAAGCAGGCGCTGACGAATTCGCCGTGCTTGGTAAAATTTGATCCTTTAAAGCCGACAGTTATCGAGTGTGATGCCAGTACGATTGGTGTGGGTGCCGTCCTTCATCAGGACGACCACCCTTACGCAAGTCGATTATTAACGCCAGCAGAGCAGAAGTATCCGATTACTCAGCTCGAATGCTTGGCGGTTGTATTTGCCGTTACGAAATTTTGCCATTATATCGATCATATGCCGTTTACTGTAAGAACCAATCATCAGGCATAAACTAATTTAATACGACCTGCGTCGAAGAAGCAAGGAACAAATGGTCGATTAACGCGATGGGCACTCTTGTTGAGCGACCCCGCCGACGAAATGCGACCGGAAGAGTCTTCGTATGCGTTCCTTTGTTATGAACAATTACGCGATCCTAGTCTCGAGAAGATGATCCATGACATCGAAAGTCGTGTCGAAAGTATGTTTGTCAAAAAGCAACATTCGGAATTCGAAATGTATCAAGGCGTACTGAGTAGTATCCCGGCCCAACCTGACGCATTTCTTTTCTCCGGGGGGGGGGTCTAAATTTTTGGACCTAGGGCATTATTTACGGGTCTATTTTTTGAACCTAGGTTACGATTTACTAGAGTGTGTCGTCGCGGGCATGCATGTGCCCCGTACATGCACCGTAGCCACGACGGTGCATGTACGGGGCGCATACGTGAAATAGTACACAGAGTCTCACGTACTGGAAGAACATTTGTTTTTACTAAGGTTTCAAAGCTTAGTTCGTGCACCTTAGCTGTTCTACACTAAGGTATGGGAAACCTTAGTTGATCTACTCCCGCAAACGCGATTTTTTTTTCATTTAGTTAAGTATTTATCTTTTTATCATTGAGAAAATCGGCTCGCAGACCTCGTACTAAAATTTTTTCCGTACGGAACGAAAATTGAAAAGTTTCGATAAGGGTAAACAATTACTGCATCACTTTCCCTGATTACCGTATAACGATCAATAATTACCGCGGTAACTAAAAAATGTTATTAGGCATATTCGATTCTTGACATATTTGGGCAGGTATAAAAACACTGACTTCGTACAAGGTTTGCTTCATTCAAGTTTCATAAATTCTTCTAAATTATCTTAAAATAAGTTGTTTTTTGGTGTTGTGATTCACGATTTTCAATATGGAAAATTCTAATAAATCAGGAATTAAGCGTCGTAATGAAGAAACCAATCCAAGTTCGTCCAAAAGGTCAAGAGATGAGGAAACAAGTAAGGTACTGCAATAAAAATATTTTTTTTGAAGTTTAAGGTTTAATTTTGCAGATTCAGTATTTTCCGGCGATATTACTGAGCACATTCAGATCAACGAAGCCGGTTCGAGAATATGGAAGAAGTTTCGGCTGCATTCAAAGTGTTATTTCGTAAAGGTGAGCACTTTAAGGTCCCTTCGAAAGCCGAATAAAACATGAATTTATTCTACAGGTCACTGATTTGGAAAGAATTCCTTTTTCTGGCGTGCCTATGGCAATCATGGAAATTCTTCAGTATGTACTGGATCATGTGCTAGACAATATCAACGCTAAAAAAATGGTGCGCATCCGATTGGACTCGAAAAGCTTGAATTACCCCATCTGGACTCCATCCATTCAAAAATCTCAACTCACGGTCAACCGGTGGATGTCGGAAGTGGAACGTGTGCTTAATTCGTACGAAGAATTCGTGATTGATAAACATTTTGAAGTTTTTGTACAGCACACGGAAATTCCACAAGGTAGCTGTGTCCGAGAAGTTCCAGTTCTGCTTAAGAAAAGGCTACAACGGATGCAGTCTGTTATTGTGATCACCAACCCGGACAAAATATGCATGGCCAGAGCACTGGTAGTGGGAAAAGCATATGCTGATGGTGATAAATTACAATACCGTCGCATAAAAGAAGGAAACAAACTGCAAACGAAAGAAGCTCAAGATCTCATCAAGAAAGCTGGACTAAACGAAAGAGAATACACAATCCTGGACGCTTAATCTTTCCAAGCGGCACTTCCGGATTACCAAATTATTATCGTCAGTGTGGACCACGCCAACAGTATCGTATACAGTGGACCCATACAAGATCGACGCATCATTTTGTTGCATCACGATCATCATTTTGATTTGCTCAAGTCGCTACCAGCATATTTTCGAAGAAGTCACTGGTGCTATAACTGCAACAAAGGTTACAATGAAAAATCCGATCACCGATGCGAGTCAATCTGCCATTTATGCCTGCGCTCGAACTGTGAGGCTGATAAAGACAATATCATCGAATGTCAAGATTGCCACCGGAAATTTTTTGGCAAGGGATGTTTTGCGGGGCACAAACTTGGTCCCACAATTCAACAGAAAAAACGAAAAAGCATCTGTCAATCGTCATTTGTTTGCCAAGATTGTTTCCGGTTGGTTTCACTAAAGAACCGCAAAGGATCTACCCAACATCAGTGCGGCGAAGTTTACTGCAAGAACTGCAAACATCATGATCTACCTGAATCCCATGAATGTTTTATGAAACCCCGAAAAGTGACGGATGAAGAGCTGGAGGAACACAAGAATGCCAAGTTTTTATACTTTGATCTGGAGACGTGTGTGGCGGAAAACAAAGAGCTGGTCCCTAACCTTGCGGTATGTGATAATTCATTCACTTATTAAAGATAATTATAGCTATTTTAACTGCAGGTGGTACAGGACGATGATGGCCACGAATGGGTTTTCCCTGAGGACGGCGTGCCATTGGGAAATGATATTACTGATTCCTTGTGCGCATTTCTGTTCCACGAAAGACACCGAGACTTCTACATTATCGCTCACAATTTTAAGGTATACTGAAAATTTATCAGTATCCAAAAGTTGACATTTTAGTATTTGCAGGCTTTTGACGGTTACTTCATTTTGAACTGGCTGCTGAAGAACGGGATCACTCCAAATGTTATTATGAATGGCGGAAAGCTGATGCAACTGGATGTGACAGAGTATAACATACGTTTCCGTGATAGCATCAACTATAATCCGCAAAGCCTAGCCAAATGGCCGGCGACCTTCGGTATACCCAATATTGGAAAAGGAACTTTTCCACATAAGTTCAACCGGAAAGAAAACTGGGACATGGTCACGCCTTTTCCTGATCCCGAAGAGTATGGATTTTCCGCAGTGAACAGGAAATCCAGAGCATCATTTATACAGTGGTATGACGTTGAATCCAAAGAAAAAAATCACGTTTTCGATTTTCGAAAAGAGATTGTGGATTACTGCCGGATGGATGTGACGGTCCTGCGACTGTGCTGCCAGCAATTCCGTCGACTATTCCAAGAAATCAGCAACGGATTGTGTCCTTTTGTATCGGCAATGACCATTGCGGGAGTGTGCAATCGATTCTGGAAATCCTTTATCTTGAAACCTGAGCAAATCGGATTACTTCCTCAACGCGTTCATGCCAAGAACCGCAATCAGTCGGAAATCGCCAAAAAATGGCTGGCTTGGATGGAATCGCAGGAAGACTATGAAATTGAATCTGTATTAACTGGAGCAGAACATCAAATTGGACCGTACTTTGTTGACGGATTCCGCCCGGATATTAATCACGTCTACGAATTCTACGGCTGCTGGTACCATGGATGCCCTCGATGTCATGCTGGAGATACTATACATCCGCTGCGTAATTTACCAATGTCGGAAAATTATAACGAAACATTGGAGCGGGAAAAGTACATCCGGAACCAAGGGTATGGATTAACCGTCATCTGGGAGCATGAGTATCACGACCAAGTAAAGGCGGATCCCGAAATGAGAGCATTTGTCCAGGGACTGTCATTTATCGCACCTTTAAACCCTCGTGATGCTTTTTACGGTGGTCGGACCAACGCCGTCAAGCTATTCCATGAAGTGAGCGGTGACGAAAAGATTAATTATTTTGACGTCAACAGCGAGTATCTTTGCGTCAACAAAAACAAACGGTACCCAATCGGCCATCCCACCATCATAACTAAAGACTTTGGGGATATTCGCAACTACTTTGGAGTAGTGCAATGCCGAATCCTACGGCCTGGAAACCTACAACTTCCCGTGCTTCCCCACCGCTCGGGTGGAAAGTTAACGTTTCCTTTGAGCCGCACATGTGTGGACAACTATCAAAACGATCAGTGTGAGCACACGGACGAAGAGCGCGCTTTAACGGGCACGTGGTGCACTCCGGAAATTATTGCTGCTCTGGACCGTGGCTACGTTGTTGTCAAGATCTATGAAGTGTGGCATTTCGACCAACATGATGACCACCTTTTCGAGGAATATATCAACAAGTTTTTAAAAATTAAGACGGAAGCCAGTGGATGGCCGCCGCACGTCCAAACCGAGGAGGAGAAGCACTAATATATATCGGATTTCAAACAGCATGAAAAGATTGATTTGGATTATGACAAAATTGATACGAATCTGGGACTGCGATCTCTGTCCAAGCTGTGCCTAAACAGGTAAATCAGTATCGGATGTTACGCCACCGTGTACAACTTATGTGTTGCCTTTACAGCTTTTGGGGGCGTTTGGGAATGCAAGACAACAAACCCAACACAATGTATATTACCGAGCCAGAGAAGTTTTATGATATGTTGCTGTCCGGAAAATACCACGTACAGTCCTGGGATATGTTTACGGAAGACGTCGTGCAACTAGCCTACACCAAAGAAAGCGGGTTTGTGAGCGCAATCCTAACACCAACGTCATTTTGGCGGCGTAAGTACAGAAAAAAATTTTTCTTCTGTGACTTTCAATGAGCCTGGTTTGCTTCGCAGATTTACAACATGTTGGGCACGACTACACTTGTACAATTTTATGGATATGGTGAAAGACCGGTTACTGTATTTTGATACAGGTAATCCAGATCATTCCGCAAAAGTTTTGTTTCTGGGAAAGCTTTACTGTACATGCACCTTTGCAGATTCAATCTTTTTTGTGACCAAACCGGGGCTAATTGATCCACCCACCGGAATTTTTCTGGGCGACCTGACCAACGAACTGAAGCCAGGACAGCATATCACTCAGTTTGTTAGCTTGGGCGCTAAAACGTATGCCTACGTCACCAATGATGGAGATGCTGTCGTCAAAGTGAAAGGCTTTACGTTGAATGGACAAACGAGTGAGCAAATTAACTTTTGCACCATGTTAGAAATGTTAGAAAATCGGACTTCTGTTAATATTCAATATCCGGATATTCTTAAACGTGTTAAAAAAGATTTGTCAATATGTACTACTAGCATGGAGAAACGCCTGCAAGTGAAGTATGACAAACATCGCATTGTTGATGCGGAATATAACACTTTGCCTTATGGCTTCACATTGAAATAAATTTATTGAATTGATCGAGCATGGTTTCGACGCGTTGCACCGCTTTCGGTAAATCAGTAGCGGTTTTCAGACCAAGAAAACTGCATTTGCCAGATGGAAACAGAACAGCACGGCCAACACTACACTTGATGGCTAGACCACTAAACAATTCAGGTGTATATTCCAAATGGAAAAACTTGCTAAATTTTTCAATATGCACACTTTGAGAAAATGTATGATGAGCCACAATATTCACAATACGAAATTTAGAAATAGTACATTGGTAGCCGAAAGCAGTTAACATGTTAGTGAAATGCTGCAACAATTCGCGGGCTCCTTCTTCTGAGCGGGGTCCGTTGACGGTAATTTTGCCATTGCGGTACAGTTGACGGTGCGCTTTGTATGGTTCCAAGATGCGCAAAAGTAATCCAGAAAATCGATGGGGTATATACCGAGCCATTGGCAGCGCCTTTTCAATTTTTTTCAGGTCCAGGGTAGTGTTTAAATCCGCAACGGCAACGACATTGGTGATTTTCGGCATCGCAATAGTACCACAGCGTGAAACGCACGGCTTTGCGCAAGGTGGACAAGGGCAGGGTGGTCAGCTTATGATACGGCGGGCAACCAAAATTTTCCAAGTTGGCGACTTCCGGCAAGTACTGCTCCAAGAGGCGATACTTTTCCTGTCCCTTGGCGAAGAAGCGAATCTGATTCGGCCGTCCAATTTTTTTGAACATATCCTCCAGGGCGCAGGTTACTTGGTTGTGACGGTATTCCCCTTCGGTATTCCACAACAATCCGTGGGAGTGGCGTGCTTGGGTGCGCAATAATGCACCGTATTTGGCAGCAACGCGTAAAAGTGTACAACTCCTGCTGCTCTTTTTCCGGACAGTAAAAGGCAAGCTGCTTAATGTATTTCTTTCCGGCAATAACGAACCAGTCAGCATCTAGAATACAAGGAGTGGCCATTTTGGATCAGAATAAATGGCCACTGCTGCGTCACACTGCCATTTATAGCTGTGGAAGGTATCTCGTTTAACTGTTACACTGGTAAGTTTTCAATGTTACCAGATCCCGTTCGATTGTTGCAGGTCAGTAACAATCAATAGTTACCAGTATCACTATCTATTGTTACTACGTCCTGTATCCCGACTATAAAAAGCTGATAAGTTTCTTCAGAACGCTCAGTTCTTTTTTCCAAAATGGAGTTTGTGGATTTGCCCCCACCATCGATCAAGCGACCCCGGAAGCCTAAACTGGATGACGTCAAGAAGCCCAAGCTGGAGGATGCAAAGCCTCACCAACGATTTGCCTTTACCCAACAAGGCCGCCCCGTCTACCGCCTGGGCAACGACAAATTCGTTTACGTCGCCCGCAGCACGACCGACCACCATGTTGTCCGTTTGGTATTTGGCGAGTGGAAGGAACAGCCGGATCATTCATGGAAGCCTACGTGGGGCAAAAGCATCGCCCTAAACAAACGGGCAAGTTAACCCCATTATACCGCCTGGATGGTGGAATGTATTTTGGATGGAACCGCTTCAATAGTGCCAATGTAGCGACAATCCGGCGCTATCATCAAAAACCAGCTGGCGATCTGTACCCTACGCGCTATGACATTTCCTTTGGAGAGCGGTGCCATGATGCCTTGAAGGAACTGTTGCAAGACATGCAGCTGTTCAAAGACATGGCGGCCATTCAGAAAGAACTGGGAAAACCGGACCCTGTCAAGGAAGGATTAATGTACAAAGATTTGCTGAGCGAAGTAGTGGAAGCAATGGTGGGACTGGTCAAGCTGACCGATGACGGAACGGGTGGAACGGGCAAGGAGCGCCCAACTGACGGCGAATGGAATGCTGCTATGGAGCGCCTGACTGAATTGCGGATGGTGTATGGCATATTATTTGGCAAAGAAAAACTGGGCGTGGAACAAGCACTGGAGCTGAACGTTGCTGGATTTTTAACTAGCAATGGAAAGGAATTGCGTGACCGTGTCGGTCGTTTGCTAACTGACGAATGTTGAGCGGGTTGTTGTATTATATTACCTTTGTATCTTATACTTTGTTTCATTTACAGTTCAAAAGCGCTGCTCATTTTTTGCTGATCATTTTATTAATCGTTTACACATCTGACGGATGATATTTCCATCAACCATGGTTGTTTTTAAATTAGAAAAACAATTAACGTACTGGCACACCATCTTGTCGTTGCTCGCCTTATTATCAGTAAACAAAAGCACAATATTCGTAAATGACTCGCCACTACACCGTCGTAAAATGGCAAACAGACAATATTGGCCACACACAGTACTGAAATCTGATTGAATCTGCTCGGATTGCAAGACAATTTCATTTTCTTTGGCTAAACTAACAAAGTCTGAAGAATACGATTCCAACTTCTTGCCATACGAGTCGAAAACTTCCATGTTTCCATCCATTTCTTGATACAAAGCAATCCAATGCTCACTTTCCTGGTCAGCAGGATCGGTATTTGTCGGGATAGGGTTGTAGTGACGGGGGTACTTCATTACTGGCAAAAACACCACGAAAAGTTTGGGTGGTAATGGGATGGCCCTGCAAGGCCTCGCTGATTTGCTGGCTGTTCATGTTGAAAAGTCCGCAATCAGTTGCCAGTGTTGGTTGATCTCAATAACGCTGTCGTACACCAACATGCACACCATCATGATAGTTTTCTCCAATGGTTTTCCAAAGGAAACGGACACGTTTAAATTGTCCTGTTTGATCAATGTTAACGGCCCGCGTCCAGTATGTCCAGGCGTGAGGTCAAACCCATATAGCGTGTAGCCTTGGTTGTACTGCGTGCGCGTAAACGGGAGACTTCCTTGTAGACTTTGTCGATTGCCCAACGTATCCAGTAGTCCATCATAGCATTCCAAAGATAGGCTGCGTTCAAAATCAGCCATATACGGTTTGTTGGGATAACTTTGCCCGTCTACTTCCACACTGATTTGCGTCAGGTTAAAGTTTTGAAAGTTGAACGGATTGCGTTTACTTGATCCATGAAAATCTTCACTGTCCACAAATCCAGTGAAGATCACTTTGGGAATTTGTCCGATTTGCAGATTACTGACCACTGTGCTCTGTGTCTTTTGAGCAATATCGGACACACGCATTACCACAGGTTCAATGTGGTACTTTACGGTTTGTTTCAACAATTCACCCGTCACGGCCGTTAGAAAATCAGGTGATGGTATATATCGTCGAATTGATAGTCGCGCGTTGCGGATGAATGGTTTGAAGGACTTTGTAGCATCCTGATCCCACACGTGCCAAGAAAATTCCGGTCGGCTGACCACTAGTCGGATATTGACTGGCACACCCGCGCAGAGCGGTTTACTCTGGTCGAAAAGATCAGCAAAGGGCTTGCCCGAAAGCTGCACGTAATTTCCGCCATCAAACAAAGCTTTGCGGTTTTTTTCGCCCTTGTTAAGCGTTTCATCGTTGAAGCGCAGTGCGGTATCGTGGTAGAAAGCTGCCGATGTCAATTGACTATTTTGCGCATCGGTCGTATAAGATAGCAATGATTCCAGATGAGCCGATTAGCCACCGTCACGTGACACGAGGAAAACAGAGAATGAAGAAAATTGTTGACGGGCGCGACACCATCGGCTGCTGTCATCGCTTCCCATTCTCCACTACCCTTCCGCACTTTGATGCCCACTTCCAACTCCAGTATCATGTCAGCCAAGCTACGTAAACCAGAATTGCTGGGAGGAATGAAGAAGTTGATGTCTCCAGCTGAACCGTTATCGGTCAGAATGGTGGTAGGATTCAGTTTCTCGTTCTCCGTTCGCCCACGGTCAGTCAGGGTGGCCGGGAGAGCGAATAACTGATTCTCCAGCTGCATGGCCGGTTCGGAATCTTCTACCATGAGCACAGCCATTTTTATATAAAGTCGGGGATATCTTTAGGGGGAATACGTTTTATCCGTCGCAATTGTTTTCGGCCTTGTCCCTCTTGCGGCGCTAGACGTTTCTCAATAGCGGCTCCAGCACGTGCTGCTACATCTTTAATAACCCCGGTAGCTGCTTCTTGCAGATGGATAGTGGCCGCTTCTAGCGCGGCTTTGGCATGGGGAGCTGCTTGCTTTAAAAGAGGGGCTGCAAAGGAAGAAATCTTGGCAAACAACTTTTTAAGGGTCTGTGGAAAACCCGATCCATTCTGCAATGTCCCGCGGTAGCGTATAAGCGCGCTCCCTCCTGTTTGATTCAGAAAGACGCTCTCATAACGCCGCGGGTCTGGTTCGTACGGAACCAGAGGCATTTCCAATACAATCTATGGGGTCGGAAATGCAGTTTCACCAACGATTTCCCGGTTTGGAATTTGGCGTCGTCTCCCAGGTCGTTGGCAATGGTCAGGTGAATGGTTTCGAAATGCTGTCGTAAAACTGGAACATAATGCGGAATGTCGAACCGTGCTTCCACAATCTGGTTGACTTCTCCTCTAATAGGTACAGAACGCAAAAACTGCGCTGCTGTGTCTTTGATTAAGCTGTAGTCGGCCACATCGCTGTACACAAACAGGCTCTGATTCCCTAACAAAGTGTTTACAGGGCGCTCCGAAATAAAAGTGCTCAGTTTGGGATTAGGCGGCTTGGTCAGGAACGAGAGGTATTTAATTTGACTATTCTTGGTTTCCATGGGAAAAGGGCCCCGCGCATTGCCGTTACTCTCCACTGGCACATCCGGTTTGAATTCAGCGCTGTCAAATCCAAGAATCTTTTGCAAAACTGATGACCCCGGCGGAAAAACAACAGACGCGCGGTCGTTTCCAATGTTGAGTCGAACACGATGATTCGTTGGGGTGAGGAACTGTACAGTAAAGGCTCCATCGTGAGACAAGGCGCTTTTATCGGCATGAACCGTATCATCCACCATGTATGCTCCAACTTTAGGCACCAGCAAATTGATGGTTTGCGGTAACAGTTCAGCGTTCTTGAAGTTGCCCGGTGGAATGGTGATTTCATTTTGATGGATGACGTAATCAACAGATTCAATAAAACCTGTGTCGTCTTTTTTCAACCGGAACTCTTTCACAATATTCACTTGTATTTTCTGTTCCACGGGCAAAGTATAAAACGAGTTCAAGTACTGCAGCTCGACGAGGGCCATTTCCCACTTTCCTTTAAAAGTAATGGGGTGCTTCAGTTTGGTTGTCCAGTTAGAGGCAGTGTTGGTTGCCTCTGTTGCCACGTCGCTAGGCAGCGTCACGTAGAAAGGAGCCCCTTCATACATGATGCTTTGATCCACGAATCGTGTTCCGGTCCGTATCCTAACCAACGTACCAGTACCTTGTTGCCTTGACGTTTCACAATGTGGTCGATGGTATACTGATCCGGTTCTGAAACTTTGGATAGTTCGTGTTCGTAGAATGTCCCTTTGATGAGATTGTCTTGATAGTCTTTCAACCTATAGACGGGAACGTAATGCGAATGACTTGCACAACGTAGAAGATCTCCTCCTTAAATCGATACGCGTAGCCTTTTTCCATCTTGCCTTTGTTGATAGCAATCCGCACAGCGTCGCCCTCACTGTACCGCGGTTGATACGCAATCTTTGGAGGATACAAACGGTGATAGACCGATAAGGAATTACTGTGCTTGACGTCCACTGGGCGCATTCCATGCGACCGATGCTTTGAATAGTTGTACGAATACACCAAGTCCTGCAGCTTGTCCAAATAATGTGTTGCAACACGTGCGCGGAAAAGGCGGAATATTCGCGACTTGATGGTCCGTATGACTCGTTCCGCCATTGCACATTTAATGTCTTCGTTTCCGGAAGTGAACATGGCGATCCTTTTGCCGTTGAGGAAGTCTTTCACCGTCTTGTTCAACATTTCTGTTCCTTTGTCGTACTGGAGCTTTTCCGGTTCTCCCAGTTCCTTTAATGCTTGCTCTAAAGCTGTTTTGGTTTCTTTACCAGTCTTTCCTCGGAGAGGGATTACGCTAAGCTTTTCGGAAAAGCAGTCAATGACAAACAGCAAGTACTTGTATCCATCGTTTTCTTCGGCATATTTGGACATGTCAGCCAGATCCGCCTGATATTGTTGCTGCAGTGTCGTCACGACCACTCGTTTGCGTGGGAACCGTTTGCGATTCTCCTTCGTCACCGTGTACGCATCGATCCCTTGCAGAATCTCCAAAGCTTTCCGTTTGTTGGCTCTGGTCTTTAAACTCCTTTGGAATCTTGCAATGCCGCCAAGACCCCCGGGATTTCTTGGGTTTAAGTACTTTTTCATCAGTTTCTCCATTGTTGCAGCAAGTTGACACACAGTTGATCTTAAATATGCGACATTGTCGCAAAACACTGGGTATCCAACTCGCCATTATGGCAAAGTAATCCACGGTAAACGTTTGCTACCGCTTCCCACTTGTCTTTTCTTTTTGATAGGAGTTTCCAAAACCACTCTTCTTTTGGAGCCTTTAGTGGGTAGAGTAGGCGGAAATAACGGGCGTCGTGGAATTTTCACCGGCAAAAAATCCTCTTCGGCTTCCCGATCACGTTTGCGCCCCTTGGTTGGTAGGATGTCCGGAAATAATGGAACACGTGGTTGCTTTGAAGAACTTTTAGTACCGTGGAAATCCTCTTCACCCTCCCGTTCGCGCTTGCGCCCTCTTGTCGGTAAGGTATCAGGGAATAACGGAACACGTGGTTGTTTTGAAGATCTTTCATTATCGTAATCGGTCCGTTTCCTTTTGGAACAAGTTGGAGGAGGTTTCGAAGATTCAAAGGTCAACGTTGATGGCTGAATGGTGGGAACATTCGGTATTTCCAGTAAATTTTCGTCTGGCAAGGCTTTTTGTTTTAAAGCTAAGAAACGCTCCAGGATGCTTGATAACTGGCTGGCTTTTTCATACTCATTTATATCGGTGCTATGCAAGATTTTGGCCAACAAGGCATCCAATGACAGCACCGCTCTGGCTTCGGGAGGTTCCTTGTTTATCTGGATCTGCTCATGTAGGCGTGCTTCCATGTCACGGCGCGCTACAATGTAGTATTCATCCATTTCCAATCAGTGACGTCAACACTCCGGCTATAACGGGTAATATGGCTCCAATGAATCCTCCTTGCTGTAGGATTTTCCGCTTTTCTTTATTCGGGTACCGCCGGAGAGCAATCAACTTTAATGCTTTCCGATGGCGTTTGCACTTGTCCAGTTCGGTAGGGCTGAGAGCCACAGTGTTCTTAACAATATTAACAGCAATCTTTTCCAAAGCTTTCATCTGCGATTTGTTCAAATAACCCAATAGAACTTTGCGCTGTTTGGGTTTCAAATTCTGCAAAGTGATCAGGAAAGGGGCTAAGGCTTTAACGCGTTCCGACATTTTGGCAACGATTGGTGTAAATTCTCATCTGCTCATGTGGCAACACATGAGAGCGGATCCTTAAATAATCCGGACATACGGGTCGCATATCAATAATCAGGCTGATAAGATTGAGCAGTCACTTTTTTGTACGCTTCCACTAAATGTCTCAATCCTGTTTGACGGTCTAGTAAGTTTATTTGTTGGACATCCCTCACGCTCTTAAATAGTATTAAGTACTGGGAATTGATGGTAATGTCTCGCATCGATTTTCCTTGCCTATATAAATTTTGCAGCAGAACAACGACTGAAACGTTGTTGTGATGTATTCCACGCGTGAACAAATTGGAGCAACGGTCGTCTTTACATAAATCAGAAGCCAGGTCGTCAATGATTATTAACGTTTGCTCGCCGGAGACGGTATCGCCTAGCAGCGGAAACAAATTATCCATGCCTTTGACAAACTCTACGTTCTTCAAATTATGAAAAGCATTCTGCCATTCTCCGTAGCAGTAAATTATTTTAGATGGCGGCTTATCAATCAGTATGTCACTATTGCTGATCAAAGAAACACAAAATTAGTTTTTCCAGACATTGTCGGTCCACAAATGCACATTCCAAAGGGTGCGCAAAAGCGCGGAAATGAAGACAACGTTCCATACATTTTGTCACTTTTGCTAGTTGGGTTTATTTCGCGCCTTAAATGTTCCTGTTTGCAGTTATTTAAGGCGATGACCTGCAAACAGCAAGTATTTAAGCATGAACGTTTCACATTGTCGCGCTATGGCCGACCCAAGGCGTTTGTTTCCGAATGCGACCCCAATGGGTCGCAGATGTGAAACAATTTTATTAACGCTTCTTTACTTCATCTTCTTTATTGTTTTTGCGAGATTTGTCGTGACGGAAGCGGTGGGGAAAGTGTTGCAAACCAACTACTGGAACAGCACTTTAAGAAACATCACTCACCCAAATTAGCGAAAACGATTGCAGCTAGGTAAGAATGGCATTCTCCAAAGATCTGTTTTCTTTGGTTGTGGTTTAATCTCCGATCCACTAAGTCAAGGATAAAGATGATGACTTGGAACACTGATTTTAGTTGCCAGTTGTGAATGAAAGCATCTAGAAGACGCCACCGAAGAAAGCCAAATCTCCCATCGCAAGATCACTGTACATCGGCATCGTCGAGCAACGTTGAGGATAAGGATGATGATTTCAACAAAACAAGCACTCGAAGTCGTAGCAATCGGTCCCGGACAGTTCATAATACATGGGCATCGTCGTGCCAAAGCCGTCACCAACTCGTTGACCTGACGATCTACAGTAGGATTCCACATCGGTTCCACCCCCATGCGATTGGAAACCAAGCGAGCCATTTGAAACGCTCCTGTGAATTCCGGTTTAATAAGCCCATGGTGTCGGATGATACCGGCCAGCAGTTCCTCCATAAAGAATCAGTACATCGGCATTGTCAGTGTGTGGCGATGCCGTTACGATTCAATAAAGTGTGGTGGCCGCCGCTATTCAGAAGAAACCTTGCCCCTTAAATACCTGCTGAACTGATATTATGCCTTTAAAAA